GCAGCCTCCCCGCCGCCCGCCACGCCGCCCTCGATCACCTCCGTCTCATTTTCGACGACCAAGTCTGCTCCCACCTCCTCCAGCGCGAAAACGCCGCTTCCTCCGCCCCTCCAACACCTTCAGCGGGGAATTTAGGGAATTTAGAAGACGTGGTACAAGAAATCCAACGGGTTTTAACCGAATTCCTCCGTTCCAACCCCAAAGCCTGGGCTCCCGTCGTCTCGGCATGGTCGATCGATTTAATGGGGCAATTAAGCAGCAAATACGCCGGACGCCACGGCGTCCCGCACGCTTCCAACCTCAACGAGCTCCTCCAGCTTTGGATGAGCTGCGCGGCCACGCGGACCCTGATGGAAATTTACACCCAGTGCCTCGGCGCTATGATCGGAGGTTGCCCCGACGCTTGCGTCGACGCTTTGCTCGATACTTCGCTTCAACACTCGCCGCATTTCGACTGGGTGGTGGCTCACATCGGTTCTTCTTTCCCCAACACCATCATCAACCGCGTCCTTTCCTGCGGGTTGAAAGATTTTTCTTCTCACGGCGCTACGCCGGGGGATTTCCTTTGCCCTCTCGCCTCCGATAAACGCGTCCCGAAAATCGCTTCCGTCGTGGGGATTTTGGGCCATTTAGCCGCTCGTCATTCCGGGAGCATCAAACAAGAACTTTTGAGGATGTTTCACGAGAGTTTAAACCCAACGAGGGACCAACACCAAAAAGCCGCCGTGCCTTTCCTCCTCCAACTCGCCGTCATGTCCCCACCGCTCCTCGGTACCGTTTCGGCCGAATTAGTCGATTCCCTCAAACCTCCCGTCCTCAATCAACTCCAACAACATTTCTCCGCGTTTCCCCGCGAGGAATTAGACAACACCGTCGGCGTCGTCGTTCACCTCCTTTGCCAAACCTCCTCCGGCGCTTATCGCATCTTCCAGTTCCTCCTCAACACCGCCATGCCCGCCTCCGTCATCACCCCGCCGGGCTCCACGCTCCACGACGGCGTCCGCGAATCCTGCGACCGCATCGTTCAACTCCTCCTCCTTCATTTACAAAAATTAGTTCACAACCGCGCCGGCTCCTCTCCCGGCGACGCCGCGCCGCGTCCCGTCCCCTTTTTAGACGCTTTAAAACCCCACGTCCGGGATCTTTGCGTGGAGACTCTACGCTTGGAACGAAAACGTTTCCTCTGGCAGCACCAGCTCTTGGCGCTCTTGGCGGTTTATTCGGCGCCGAATTGCGCCACCGACGCCCTCGCTTTCCTCTTGACGTTGGCAAAAACTCAAGAAGAGTTGGCTTTGGCCACGCAGCTCCACGCCGTCCTCAGCTCATCCCTCTCCGACCTTCTCCCCGCTACCGTCGCCACCTGCGTCGCCCAAATCCACGCCGCTCGTTTGCCGGAACCGCAAATCGTTCAACTCCTTCGAAATTTCGCTTCGGTTCTCCAAGGGGAAAGCGGAGATGCCGGCGCGGCGGCGATGGGACCGCAGCTCGGCGTCGTTTTGGGCCGATTCCTCCACGATTTCGCTCAACTCCTCCTCCACCGTCGCGCCGACGTCGCCGAAGCCGCGTCTTGGCTCCTCTCCGTCTGTCCTTTCCCCCGTTCTGTGCCGCCGGCGCAGCTCCTTGCCGTCACCCGCGCGGCCGTCGCTTATTTTTTTACCGTTTTACGCCATAAAACCAACCGTCCCGCCGATCTTTCCTACGCCACGCGGCTCCTCGCCCGTCTCAGCGCCGTCTCCGCCGCCGCCCCCGCCAAAGCTCTGGTCCAGCAGCTGGTGGAAGGAGCTTTACGCGGCGCCAACGCTCGACTTTTCGGCGCCGCGCCGGAAAAAAATCCCCAAGAAAACACCGCTTGGGATGGAAACACCAACGACATTTCCTTATTGGAGATCAACCGCCGCTTCACCGCCGCCGTCAACTTCTCCGGCGGCGTTTGGTCCGTTTTTCACGCCGGGGTGATCGGACACGGGTTAAAAACTCCGCCGGGAGCCTCCGATGGCGCTCCGGAAGAACTGGCGAATAATATTCAGATTTTTCTCGGTGTTTTACTCCGTTGTTGCCTCCACCGTTCGTCTGAATCCTCATTTTCTCCTTTCTCCCTCCCTTCCATCAATCCCGAAGCCGCCAAAGCCGTGGCGGCCGCCGTGGTGGAAAGTTGCCCGGAAGCCGCCGGCGGGGAATTAATTTGGCCTCCGGAGGAACAATCCCGCGGGACGGTGGAGCGGGATTTAAAAATTTGCCGACGGTTTCGTCAACACCCTTTGCTTTTTCCCCTCTTACGTCTCGTCGCCGCCGGTCGACCTGCGCTCTGCTACTGTTCCGTTCTTCTCCGCGGGCTCCTGGCCGGTCTTTTGGCGTTTTGGGAATCGTGTCGGGACGCGGAAACGCCGGCGGCGCCGTGGCAGCTCCAGGCTTCCTGCGCCCTCGTC